CACTCCACACAGTTAATGACCGTAACTTTGGTGTCTCTCAATGGATTTGAGTGACATTTTCACCACACACTCCTGCCACTATGTTGGCTCTCTGAACATGATTTAAAAGTTCTTGCGCCTCACTGACAGGCTTTGCAGGCCGGAAAAACTGAAAATTCCGGCATAGTGCCACGGTGTGCGAGCCACCCAGGAGCCAAAAAATGCATTGACACTTTTTCACATTTTCTTGTCCATTCTGTCCGTGCGCGGGATCCAAACCTAAAAAAAGTCCAGAAGCAACCATGGGTGGCGGGATAGGGCCCCTCAACGTGGCCCTGGAATCTGTCACAAGGGCACGAGTGGGCGTTCTTTCACAGACTCCCACAGACCCACGTCAATTTTTGAATTTTTTTAGGTTCAGCACGTGCTACGAGGTGGTACCTTTGATACAACACCCAGTGCTGGGACCTCCACAGCGCTGCACACCACATCCAGGATACCCTCAAAAATCGGCAAAGACTACCACCCACGTTCCACTACTGCCTAGTACTGATTCCTACCTGACTTCTTGACACGACTCAAACTTGCCAAAGTCACTAAATCAACGTCAACTACAATAATCAAGCCACATATCTGCAACGTCACGAGGGTGCTGGCAAAAGTCCTGCTGCACGGCTAAAAAAAGGTGATTTTTGGACTTGAGCAAAATTCTGCACACTTTCGCGTTTTCCATGATACGAAGTTGCACACGGTCTGCCCAGATTCAAATACAAGGTGATTTGGCTTTTTTAACATGGTTGTAAAATGACGTTTTTTCAGCCACTTCTAGGGAAGTTAGGCCCCGGTCACACATGCACTTTTTTGGCGGTTCCGCCAAAGCGTAACTTACGCTTCCGCCGTTGCCTCGGCAACGGCGGAGGCGTAAGTTACGCTTTGGCGGAAAGTTTGGATTTCGCTACGCCAAAAAATGCGAGCGGAGCCTCCGCTTTCGCGGATCCGCTTTGGCGGAACCTGCATGGTGGTCAGCTTTGGAGTTTGGTGTGCTACTTCTGCACTGAGTTCTGGTGTTGTTTGGTTGTCGTTTGGTATTCAGTTTTCATATTGTTCTTCTTTGCCAATGAACTGTACGTTCTGGAGATCTCGCAAACAATACTGCATCGTTATGAATCCGGGAATCCGTCTCCCAACTCATTGGCCCCGATCGCGGACGATCTCCAACTCTCTCCTTCTCTCTCCAAGCAATACGTCCACCAGAGTATGCAACATTAGGACTGCAACCAGGGAGTAGTAGAGTACTCTGCCACACCCTCACTGCAACTGCAGGCATCCACGCAGTTGCTGGGTCGATGATGGATCATGGAGGAGGCAACGACACCCTGCTATAAAACTATTTGAATTTGATATTGATGTAAACTAAACTAATATTCAAATACACCCGTGCTGGGCCGCAGTGAATGTGCCCCAAATCCACGAGTGTACTTGACAGGAGACATTCAGCAGCCTGTCAGCGATCACGATAGCTCTACTTGTACAAGCGAAGGTCGCTTCAACTCGGACAAGAAGGAGGCAACGACACCCTGCTATACAACCATTTGAATTTGATATTGATGTAAACCAAACTAGTAATATTCTAATACACCTGTACTGGGCCGCAGTGAATGCGCCCCAAATCCACGAGTGTACTTGACAGGAGACATTCAGCAGCCTGTCAGCGATCCACGATAGCTCTACTTGTACAAGCGAAGGCCGCTCCAACTCGGACAAGAACATCTAAAATTTCATAGGACGTGCTGCATTTGCATTCTCTCCGCCAAAGCGGAGCGTTGAGGAGCACAGTAGTCTACATGTACATGTATGTGTGACCGCTACATCGTGTGGTCCGCCAAAGCGGCTGCGGTAGTTCCGCTTTCCACCTCCGCAAAAGCGGTGCAAGCTTTTCATGCGTGACCGCGGCCTTACGTCCAAATGAATTGTTGCAAGTGGAAGTGCTATCCTTCATGCCCGTTATCTAAAAAAATGGGAATGATCCCACTTTGAAAAGTGTCTTGAATCATGTCCTACTTTCATTGTATTCTCGGGATTCAAATAATCGGTGTGTCATTTTTTAACAAATTTGTAAAATGGCATCACAAAATGGGATATTCGGTCATCAATGTTCTGAAGTTGATAGATATCACTTCAAGTTCAAGGATTGCTTGTAGTGGATGGAAATTAATCTGTCAACTGCATTGTATGCAGCGAAAGCCGTGTTTTTGTATTTGTATCTAGTGGCTGTGTCATACGGTAGAATTGGATAGGCAGCATAGCATCGCAGCCATGTTTTCGTTCTCACAGAGTGTATTCCGTGACCTACTGTTCTTCATCATTGTCTTTACAACTTGTAGTGATGGCAAGACGGCCTGACGTCGTCCAAAGGCCCTGCGGAAGCAATTTGGTGCGTGTTTTTGGCCGTGACGCCGAGACCTCAGGTCGGCAGAGTCATCAATGCCCCACCATCACTGCTGCGTCTCGGTGTAGCGCCTGCTCATTAGTTGTCACGTTTGTCCTAGTCTCCGTACCATTGTCTTTCCTTATTCTTTTCGAGCTGGTTATGTGAACGTAGTAAATTCACTGCCCTCCTCGTCCATTCAGGGCTTATTTGACACATTTTACACAAAATGGCAAGCACCCACCACTAATTATACCGACGTGGCAGGGAGAATTAAATTATACGCACCAAATTTTCTGAAACTCAGATGTTGAGCCATAAATAAATGTAGAAGAGAAAAGGACATATGGATACGAGTTAAGAACTTTCTGACTGTATATAGTATCATGTTACATGTATACAGTGATGGATAGTTACTCTTAACTCGTATCCATATGTCCTTTTCTCTTCTACCAAATTTTCTGGTCAATATTGATCTACGATAAACTGGCTCATATTTGCCACCACCCATGTTTCGATACAGCCATCCGAAGCAGAGAAACGGCCAGAAGAAGAGCAAATTTTACAAAATGCCAAATGTTAAAAAAAGCCAAATCACCTCGTACAGTGCTGCCAAAAAATGACAGCTTGCAACAAAAAAATCTTTCCTTGCTAGGGCACATACTCGGCCATAACTCTTGAACGGCTGGTCAGATTGATACAAAAATGCTCAGCGATTTTGCAGTTATTCATGCTTTTTCAACTCATGTAGCACTCGATATGAATTTACAAATTCGATTTTTTAGGGAATTAATTTTTGGGTAGTCTGCCTAGTTCACATTCGACGGGGCGCGACAGGACGCGACGTAAGGATCGACGGGTAGCGAAGAGACTGTTTGACGGCGTCCAACGTGAACACCAGGAACGGGAACGAAATCGCACTACCTTACAGATCGGGAACCGACGGGAAGAGTTGGATCGGTTCAACTTTTCATACCGTAGACGGGCGTAGACGGGGACGCAAGCGTACAAAACGGCTTTGATTCGAGTGTGAACAGGAGACGGCGTCGTGCGCCGACTACTCCCGATTCGTACTTTTAATTTTTTAGCATTTGGAACACTGCGCTTCCCATGATAACTCAAAGAATTGCTAGCGGGACTTGAGTTGAATTTTAGCAACATAAGATCTCATGTCACTTATTGTATTGAGGGATAGTTCAGGAGCATGACAGAGGTACTATTCTATCATTTCCTGGGGCTAATACATGTATTTGAATGCCACAACTTTCAGGGCTAAATATTTTGATCCTCATGAAAACTGGTATTGTGAACTTGAATCCGCTTCTTTCAAGATTGCTGCAGTACAGGCACACAGGCACCAACTACCCACCAAGGTACCGTCATGCATGCAGCACTCTGCACCAACTACCCACCAAGGTACCGTCATGCATGCAGCACTATGCACCAACTACCCACCAAGGCATCGCCATGCATGCAGCACTATGATTCTCGCTGGCTGCTGTAGTACAGGCATCCACTCCAGCAATCCCCAGAACCCGACACACTGGCCCTGCGTTTGTGCACAATGCAGCGCCTAGTGTAGGTGTCAACCTACACATTGGCTCTGCTGCAGGACAGGCACCCAGTATCAGAACCTCAAACTATACATCCATCCGAATCCCACGCTCTGGCTCTCCAGCTCTGCTGTAGCGCTACCATCACCCCCCTCAACTTTCCTGAAACTTACACTATTTGCTCCTCACCTGGTCCATTACTGTAACATTAACCGGCTAGGACCCGCACCTTCTGCAGAGGCACCTCCATCTTATTAGCTCATTGTGCTGTGCTGCAGCTCCATTGTAGATTTTGCCTGATGATTGCATGATGCATGAAACTCCGAGTTGCAAAAAGAGATCTTGGTAGTTTTGTTGTCGAACGGTTTTAGTATTAATAGCTCTATCGAAATGTATTGAGCACTCGTACGCAGTGGATCGCTACCTGCTTTTGTCTAAGTACAAAATATGTATATTAGCCAAAATACCCATTTCCACGATCATCTCCCAGTGACCGAGGTCCTTCATTCGCTTCGTTTCATGCAGCTACCGTTACGGTCAACATAAGCTGTCTTGGAATGCTTGCAGGCTAATCTGCTGCTAGGTTGATGCTCTTTTGCCCGATCAGTTCTGTGTGGATAGCATTGGTGCGCTTCTGCCTGATCCGTTTTGTATGAATTGCATTGCTAAGTATACCCTCAGTTGACAGGTTCACACTGTTCGGCGTGACCACATCCCACTCAATCTCACTCAAGCAGTGATTGCAACAAGTGACTGTTGAGGATCGGTGTCAAAATACTTTCTTTGGACAGCGAACTCTCCTAAAGGACCACTGATTGCAATGCAGGTCTTCTAAGCTCGGACTCTTTTAGCGTTCCCTGCATGCACGGCACATTCACTGAAGCGCAGCGTTTTTAATAACCCGTATCGCCTCCTTACGACTGAGTTTAGCGAAGCGCAACGCCACCTCTCTAACACGTGATCATCTAAATTTGGCATTGGTGCATGGCCCTCCCTAAATGTACGACCACCTAAGCGCACGGCTGAAACTCCTCATGGTATCAGCCTTGGTGACGACCCGAGCGCCGGCTGGCTGGGGCGAAACAGGCTAAGGAGTAGATCGACTGTGTACAGACCACTCTCAAAAGGTGCGACATCCTCCTCCAGCCGGTCAGCCTGAGGAAAAATCAGTGGTGCAAGGACATGAAAACACGTCGCTGGCCTTTTTGCTCCACAAAGGGTACTGTGTTTGGGCCCTGTTTGGGTTTGGTTTCGATGTGGCCTGAACTGACCGTGCATGGCGGATGATGAGCGAGGAGAGACAGTAAAGGAAGAGACCTATGTAACCTGTTCTGTAACGCATGGCGTGACTGCGCTCCTGGAATGCCACCAGATCTCTCTTGTGCAGACTGGGTACTGGTGATCGTACACGGCGAATAGAGTTTCCCCATCCTGATTATAGTCAACGGGCGTCTGGTGGTTGTTGCGTGCAGAAGCCGGACAATGCCATTTCAGCGAATGCGCGAAACAGCGTCGCTGCTGTTCCTGATTGTTGTTGCGGACCTGAGACAAAGTTCTGGCCGACCGAACCCTCCAATTACCGATGACGTGCGCGGGCAAGGCACTGCGATTGGCGCAGTACATGTGCAGATCAGTGGTGGCTTTGAAGGGGCACGGCAGCCTCATGCAGGCATTAATCCACCCAGCTGGAGTGGAGCAGAACAAGAGAAGAAGGATTCCACGCCGCTCAACAGTTCTGGTAAGAGTTTAATGAAAGAAGGGCGGTGAAAGACTGAATTCACGGAACACTAGATTTTTGCTAGCAATGCATTTTTCAATTGAAGATTACTGGTCCGTCGTGTATGTTATGGTTCAGAAACCCGGTACGTGTCATCTGTGCTTTCCTTTCCACATCTGCTTGGCCTCTCAGAGCAATATCGGTAAAGTTCAGTTCCCACTCGAGTTTAGCTGGATTAGCTACCCGGGATAGCTAAACTAACTGCATACCTGTAGTAGTGCAATGCGTGCTGTGTTATGCCCAAGAGGTCAGTTCTGGCCCGCTGTATCTCTGGGCGTTTTGAGATTGGCTGGATCTCAGCCTTTTGCGCGCTAGCTAGGCCAGTCAGCTTTGGCAGGATTGCGTTTAGGGACACTACAATTATTATCTGATGTCGCCCTAAGAGGGAGTTATGTGCAGAAAATGACTTGGATTCACTGGGGTTAACACGAAACTGTCCGGAGAAGAGTCTCGAAGAACCCATCTACACGGTATTCTCAAAGCTCCTTATAATCGGGTATGATCATGTCGCAGAGTCTAGCACTATGCCTGCTACTATGAACCGCATCCGGGGTGACATACCTACTGGGCGCGTGCTGAGATCACTCATGCACAAATGCTACGTGAAAACGAGAACATTTCGGAACAAAAATGCCATGTGATGTTGCTTGTGGAGACTATTGTTCATTGGGCATCGGTACACGAAAAGCTTCGTCGGACGGGGCACAATCTAAGGCGTACTGATTCAGTGCAGGGCCGGCGCCACTGGTACGGCTGGTGTGGCCATGCCTGTACAAGTTTTCACAAGTTCCAGCGTTCATGGGCTGCTCAGTGTGCACTTGGTTACCTAGAAGCACGAGCAGTAACGATCTACATGTACCTTGATGGTGGTTGTGTTTATTTTAATTCGCAAGCCGAACGGACTGAACGTGTCCAATGACAGGGAAGCGGATGAGGTCCAAGTAACCCAGGCATGGGAAAACTTGGAAAGGACGCTCAGATGAAAAGGAAATATGGGAAAAGAAAGCTCTCAGCAACCTTCATACATTCCTCAACAGAGTCTCTCCATCCTAAACTGTTTATCTTGTTCAGTGAGGTCTACCACACTAGCTGTCATATCTGTTGCTAGAGGAATGTGTAACTGAAACAAACAGACATGATGCATAGTGCTAGAGATGCTTCATACCAGGATCTCCAAATTAGGCATGGGAAAGTAACCGGTCCCGCGCGTAGCCGACATGGCCCATGGGGGCGTACCACCCCTTAGAAGCTAGCTCCGGACCTGCACTGACAGTGCACCGGTCGCTGAATGTCTCATTGGCAGTCATTGCTGGTGCGTTCTCTCACTTCCACGCTTTGCAGTTAGGTTTCGCACAACTACATAGCTAACTACAGCTTGCAGTTCAGAGAGTGAATGGTCCAATTGCGCTTATCCCGTATCGATCAGAAAAGGAGGCGAGGAGAGGAGAGGGGGGGGGGGGTGGTTACTAGTACATTTCCAGGAGCAACAACTGTGCCTGTGGGATTGAACAATAGTCTGTCACCTCGCTAAACGAAGAGCAATAATATCATGATAACTTTCAAAGCCACCACAGTGAGAACTAATGGGCAGGTGCTCAGCAACCACTCCATCGTCACAACACATGTTCATGCACAAAACAATAATAATGAGATGATCAAGATGACTAGTGGTAGGTATTGTTCAATCATATGAGGACGCACCCAGTGCAGCGCGCGCATTGTTCCATCATAATATTAACAGTAGGTTTTGATGGGGGCAATGATTGCCCGGCTAATTACATTGGTACATACATGTACACATGTACAATGTACAGTGTTGGCAACTGAAATCCGACCCCCTGGCCGGTGCGCCGCGCCGCCAAGGGGGGTCGGATTTCAGTTGCCAGCACTGTACAATGTCATACATGTACATTGTGCTTGAGCTTTTTTTATTTTATTTATTTTTTTACAAAGACCACTTAAATGCCAAACATGAGATGCAGCTAGGCTTCAGTACATAATGCTATACATGTACATGTACATGTGCAATTATTTACCTGCAGAAGAAGTTCGCTGAAGAATACTCGATCCGTTGTCGGAACACGCAACAGAATTCGGAGCTTATACAATAAGTATTTACAAAGCGGAACATGTGGCTGCAAGCGCTAAATTAATCTGCCTGGACGTGCGAAAAATGTCAGGGCACAGTGAAGCGAATCTAGTTTTCCTACATGTCCATGTACATGTACAAATGTACATGTATGCGTGAATTCGGTGCGAATGTGCGTCTATGGCACGTAGAGGCACGTAGAAATCAGTCCTGATGGGTGAGAAATACGCGCTCCTTTATTATTATTATTATTATTGTATTTTCGAGTCCTGGTGGTGACGCTCAATTTTCACTTCAGATTTTCCCGTTTGCATCTTTCCAGTGAGTATTGTCATGTTCTTCATAGTATGACCAATACCGTAGAGCAGAAAACATCGCGTGAGGGGAGAGTACAATATTGATGTTGGTAGTACGTGGATAAAGGTTCGTGCTGATCATTATTGTAATTGCGGACAAGAGTACATGTACATAATCAAGCTGTTTTGATGTCGCTCGAGCACCTCTTGCCAGACCACCTGAGGACAAGGTCATTGTTCCTATTCAACTCGATGCCGTCGACCCTGCGGCCCCCAGAGCGCAGGCTCGCATGCAAATCCAAAGAGCGATCGCCTACTCAATTCTTTTGTCTTCGTTATAATGTCGCGCCTGATCTGATCAGCGCCTATACAAGTGCTGGGTAATTAAGCATGTGGAAGGCATACCCAGGCTTGCTTGTGGAATAGATTATAGCTTCTTGAGGACAAGCACACAGGTACAATTCGGAGCCCTTAACATAAACCTACGCCATACCCTTGCACAAAGCTCTGGAACGAGTGCAGCTACTAGTATACATCTCTCTTGTGTACATGTACAATGTACATGTACACAAGAGAGATTGGAAGTTGCGTTTCACGTACTACATGTAGTACGATCATCAGGCAACACATGTACATGTACACGACTATGTTCGGCAGCATAGCTAGTATAGGTCTACCCTCGTTAGTACGACATCACCTACAAGACAAACCTCATTAGTAGACAACGATCCAGATCCCCTGACGCCTGGAACGCGTACATGCAGGTCCGGATCCGGAAGCAGATATACCGGTACTTAGTACTCGATATAACACAACACTATTGAGCGCTCCCGGCTTGTCTACTAAACGCGGTTAGAGCTGTAATAAAATATCGAAAGGGCAACATAAATGATGTACATGTATCCGAAAGTACGGCGTGCGAAAGAGGGCAGATACTAGTACTACAACAAGTCCACAAGGGTATAATATGTAGTGTAGAGTTTTTTGCACAATATGCTGAGTACAATGTACATGTACATATACATGCAGTGGGTCTAGACAACTACATGTAACTGTACAGTGAAACCTGTAACCAACGACCACTCCTCGGAGCCAGAGAAAGCGGTTTTAGTGGCAGGTGGTCATTAGTTAGAGGTTCGCACCGTACGACCTTTATAATAAGTATTATAATTCTGAATGTGAGACCGTCCGTGCCTGGCAAAGTGGTCTGTGGTACCAGGCCGGTCGCTCGTCACGGTGGTCTTTAGTTACCGGTTTTACTGTAGTTGAATCTTTGAGCTTCAGGCATAAGCATCAGACGCTCAGCTTGCTCCACCGTTGTACTGTACTGTGCACTACCAGTATATGAATTTGCGCAACTTTGCGAAAATGATCCAATCATAAAGACTATTATGTCGTCAATCCTACATGTGCAGTCATGTACATGTACATGTACATGTGCCTGTCAGTGCGGGTACATCTGCACTAAAATTCAGTTGCAGGAAACGCTAGCAAGAACCCGTCTGTTTTCTGCCTTTGTGCACAATGACAATGTCACTACTAGTACTTCGCACGGCCAGTGCATTATGCCACAAAACAAAAGATAGTACATTTTGGTGTGTTTTATATCCCCCCCCCCCTCCCCCATGACGCCGAGATCTCAGGTCGGCTGTGGGCAAAAAAAAGCCTCACCGTCACTGACACTATGCTTCCATATGCCTTTTTTGTCTTTGGCTGTGAACTGTGATCATTTTTAAAACAGGCAAAGACAAAAAATGCGAAAAAAGCAACCAAAAAGTAGAATATGTAAAGGAAAGCATGCCACCAGGTTCGCCAGTGTCACGACATTAATTTTCAGGGAGGGAGTTTCCAGCATCGCACCGCAGATGTATGTCCTCTAGTAGTTTGTGCGGTGCCGCCACTACAGTAGTGCGAACCAGGTCCCTGGGATATTTGTACAGTTCACAAGATATAAAGTGCATGTAGCACATATTAGCCTGATGTTATCTAGCCTGGTAGATTGGAACAGGAAAACCGAGAAGTGCTGAAATCGAGGTGACGCATTCACTGATTACCCCAGGCTGTGAGCACTCGTACAAAACTGGATTAGGAGAACCGTAGAAAGGCGCTGGGAAATAGGGGTGACAGGGTTCTGCCTTTCCCGTTACTTAGTTCTGCTTGCAGTTGCTGGTCCTGGCACCTGACGGTTCAAAGACATGACACATATGGGACACCCCTGGCAGCAAGTTCTTCAATCCAATAAAAACTAAGCTTCAATAATTATGCTGTTAGTTTGTTTATAATTGCAGATGTCAATCATCCAAGGACTGCGTACTGATGTTATGCATATTAGTCAAATGAGGTCACTCACCCATTTAGGGCAAGGAATTTTCATATGTGACCTGACTGCTATCGGATCCCATGATCGTGTTCTGCTAAGGGAAGCATGTGAGACTTCCCTGATTTTCCCAGTAAAGACTAACCACTATACGGGTGGTTCAAATCCACTCTTTTCATGTCCGTATTTATTTCTCCGTCGTCTGCTTCCTGCGGCAGAGATTGCGGAATGCCAAGCGCTAGTTCCGGCATTTCAATGGCCTGATGACGTCATCTGTCGACAGCATACTGCGACCGTTTTCTATTGCCAATGCCGCCTTGTTTTCGAAGCCAGAGTAAAAGCTTCTGATCCGTATCCAACCCTGAGAGCTGGCCCGAGCTACGACCAGCTGCAACCCTACGAAAGAAACATCGTGGCAATATATTGCATGCGACGCGGCCAAGGCATGCCAGATTCACCGGACAGCAGCTCCGTATTCTGGAACGGCGCTGTAGCGTGCCCCAAACCCGTCAAGAAAAGAGCTGGTAAGGCAGCTAAAATGTTCATATACATGTGCAGTATGCTGAATTTCGTTTCCTTGGCAACTGAAAATGACCCACAAGAATTTAGCAAAACAGTGGCTTTATAAATTTTGACGCACAAGTATTAGTTGAACTCGAACGGTAAGCCAATAATTATAATTATGGATAAAAAACAGAAGGACAAAATTGTGCCACTCGCTGACTGTATGATCTAGTTACGTTGGTGACAGGCCCGTCGCACCGACTTTGGAGGTGGGGCGGTCCGGGGGTCCGGGGGTCGTCCGGGGGTCCGGGGGTCCGGGGGTCGTCCGGGGGTCCGGGGGTCGTCCCCGTGAAAAATTTCAAAAATTGAAGCCAATTGCAAGCATTTCCGGGTATTTGGTGCCATTTCAGCGTACGGTAACTAAAATTAAAGTCTTTTTGATTCTGCAACAAACGAAGAAGACGCTACTGATCGGGGACAAACATTACCCTCCCTCCGGAAAAAAATTCAAAAATTGAAGCCAATTGCAAGCATTTCCAGGTATTTGGTGCCATTTACAGTGTAATTGCAAAGAAAGACTTCAGAGTTCTTTCTGCAACAAACCACGATCGGGGACAAGGATTTGTCACGTTTGCGCTAAGCTGCGATCATTGTGCTTTGTTGTAATGTGCTCCAAAAAAAAAAAAAAAAAAAACGCCCGAAAAAGTGGGGCGGCCTCAGCCGCCCCAGCAAGGCTGTGACGGCCGTGGGTGAACAGTTAGCCATAACTCGTACCATTTTTGTCAATCTCCTTTTTAATCCATAAGTACTACATGTACAGGCAGCACGCGGGGAATCGTTTTAAACCGAACGATTCCCGGCGTGCTAGGGGCAGATGGAAGAAGAAAACTGGCCTAGAGTCTGCTCTGATTTTTTTTTCCGACTGCATCGATGCATTGACAGTCAATGCAGTTTTTTTTTTAACTCCAAAGCACGAAAAAAGCCAAAAACTAAACCAAGAACATATGCAATAACATGTTATTTATAAAGACAGGACAAGTGAATAATTAGTCAGTCCATTGTTCATGATGATCTCCGACGGTTACGTCGGCAAGCGAGCCTCCACCACTGCCAAAGTCTGCTCTGATAGTACATTTACGTGTACACAATTATTACAAGGCACTGGTCGGTTGAGTAATCAGTTGCTCCAAGCCAATCCGTACGTCGACCCTACATCCCCTATGTTTTGTACTTTTACTTTTTTTATTCTCCACATGTTTTCCAAGGCAATAGAAAAAGAAGAAGAAGAAAAATTGATCATTTATAGCAAAGCTTCTGCTCGCACTCGTATCATCATGGATGATTACATTGCTCTTTCCAATTAAGTCCGCTTCGTTCTGCATCTTATACACGCTCTAAAGCTCTGCTAATCTATAATGAAAATTTCATGTGTCAAACGAACTGTTCTCATTCGCCATATCCCCATATTTCGTGTGTCGTGTGTATAGATTCTACAGATCCACTGGTGCGCTGTGGGAACTTTCCCCATATATCTCATGCATACGTCAGCTCTACGAG